TTTTGTACAATTGTGGACCAAAATTGTCATTGCTGCTTATATATTTAGTTGTTTTGCAAGGTCCACGATGGAGGCGCTTCCCTACAGATTATGCTTCAACTTCTGAAGATGAATTTGGGTCAAATCGTAGTTCACCTAAGCATACCCGCCTACGCACCAGTACAGCACTGAGAAGCACTAAACTGCAGAACAGTAATGTACCATCAACAACCAATGTGCTCCTGAAAAACAAAATGAAGGAACAGGATGACTACATAAGAGACTGGACTGCTCACAGTGAGGAAATTGCCAGGTATCTTTCAATATCAAAGTAGGTGTTCTGTGTTTTAATTTCATTGATAACCTTTGTGATGTATTTGAGGTAGAATGTTATAATTTGGACTACTATTTTTCCATTCTTATTTCTGGAACTATTAATCAATCATTAATAATGGGCTTAAAGAGGTTCTTGGAGTCCAGGAAGCCTGGGTTCAAATCCCACCTGCTCCATAGGTGTATACTAATATCTCTGAAGAAGTTTATTTGGGGGTGGGGAGGGGGATGAAATCTAATGGGCTCAATTCCAATCATAATCTTTGTGGCCTTTTTTAATCAAATCCAAGTTAGGCTTGACTATGGGTAGTGACCGCCAGCCGTTACCTTAGCTACTTAGAAGTTTACACACAGTAGTATAAAATATCTAGCTGGGCAGATTGAGCACTGTCGCAGCTGAGGTGCACCTCTGATCCACTTAATGGATAGATTAGTATTAGACTCAAGGAAAGGACATACAGATTGCTATTTTTTTGTAGCCAGCAGACCAGAGGATTGGGAGCAGTTTCGATTGCAGGAAAGAGGAGAAAGAGATTCATTGAGTGGGACAATAGAACACGGGAGTAAGAACGTACAAATTGATTGTAGAAGTTTTTATATAGGTATATGAAGAGAATAAGATTATTGAAGGCAAATGTAAGTCCCTTTCAGCCAGAAACAGGGAAGTTATAATGGGAATCGGCGAGGTGACAGACCAATTAAATACATATTTTGGTTCTGCCTTCACAAATGAGGACACAAATGACATCCCAAGAATTTTGGGAAATGCAGGATCTAGTGAGACGAGAGAACTGAAGGAAATTAGTATAAGTAGGAAAATGGTTTTGAGGAAGTTGACAGGATTAAAGTCTGTTAAAATGCCAAGGCCTGATGATCTTCATCCCAGAGTACTTAAGGAAGTCCCCCTAGAAATACTAAATGTATCGGTGATCGTCTTCCAAGATTCTATACGCTCGGACAGTTCCAGGTGGATTGGATAGTAGCTAGTGTAACCCCACTACTTAAGAGGTAGAGCAAAGGAAGAAATGGAGGGAATTAAAACAAAATGACATCAATAGGAGGGAAGTGCTAGAGTTCATTATAAAAGATATCATAGCGGAGCTCTTGGAAAACAGTGACAAGATCAGAAAGTCAGCAAGGATTTAAAGGGAGCAAATGTTTGACAAAGCTGCTGAAATTTTCTGACAACCTAACTTGTAGAGTTGATTTGGTGGGGGAGCGGGCAGAAAGTGTTTATGGTTTTACTTTTACTTTCAGAAGGTTTTTGACTGATGTCCTATACAAAAGACTGGCATGTAAAATTAAACATGGGATTGAGGATAGTGTACTGACATGGATAGAGAGCTGGTTGGCAGACAGGAAACAAAGAGCAAGAATAAACAGGTCATTTTTTGAGTGGCAGGCACTGACTTGTGGGTTATTGCAGGGATCAGTGCTTGAACCCCAGCTATTCACAACATATTAATGATTTAGATGAGGGAACTGAATGTAATATCTCCACGTTTGCAGATGACATAAAGCTGGGTAGGAGGGTATAGGAGAAGGATGCAGAGATAGGTCTGACTAGCTCAGACAAGTTGAGTGTATGGGCAAATGTAAGGCAGATGAGGTATTGTGGGTAAAAGCAAAGTTATCCACTTAGATAGCAAAAACAGGCAAATTCTTAGCTGAATGGCATTAGATTGGGAAAGGGGGAATTTCACTGAGACCTGGATGTCCTTGTATACCTGTTGCTGAAAGTAAGCATGCAGGTGCAGCAGGCAGTGAAGGTAATAAATGGTATGTTGGCTTTCATAGTGAGAGGATTTGCATAGAAGAGCAGGGATGATTTGTTGCAGTTGTGCGGAGCATTCATAAGACCACGCTTAGAGTATTATGTGCAGTTTTGGTGTCCTTAATCTGAGGAAGGGAGCGCTGGCTATAGAGGGAGTTCAACAAAAGTTTATCAGACTGATGGCAAGATTGATGTATGACGAGTTACTGGATTGGTTTAGGATTGGCTGGTGGGTTCGATTCAATGGAAAATTGTGGAAAAAGTTTTAAGTTCAGGGATGGGAGTGCTCAGCTGAAGTTATGAACTTTCTAGAATAAGTAATAGGACCGAGTTTGGAAAGGCTCAGGAATCTAACTTCAAGCACAGCAGATAAGGGACAACTGTAGAAGGGTGCAGTCAACGCAGTACCGTATTATGTTGTGGGTATCACAAAGATGTGGCTGCAACAGGATTAGGGCTGGAAACTAAATATCCAAGGAAATGTATCCTATTGAAAGGACAGGCAGATGGACAGAGGGGAGGGGGGAGGTTGACTTATTAATAAGTAATGAAATTAAATCCATAGCAAGAAGTGATACAGGGTCAGACGGGTAGAATCTGTGTGGATAGAGTTGAGGAACTGCAAAGGGGGAAAAAAACCCTGATTAGAGTTGTAGACGGGCCTCCTTTGCAGTGGTCAGGATGTGGGGCAGCAAATAAATCAGGATCTTTTTTAAATGCCTTTTGTATTACAGTAATCATGGGGACTTCATTATGCAGGTGGACTGGGAAAATTAGGTTGGCAGTGGATCCCAAGAAAAGGAATTCATAGCATGTCACGAGATGCGTTTTTTTTTGGAACAGCCGTGATAGAGCCCACCAGGGCACAGGCAGTTGACGATTTCGGTGTGTGTAATGAGGACGACTTGATTAGGGAACTTACGGTGAAGGATCCCCTAAGGGAAAGTGACCATAACATGCTATTCAGATGTAACAATATTATAATTGAGTGGCTCAGTGGTTAGCACTGCTACCTCACAGCACCAGGAACCTGGGTTTAGTTTCACCATCGGGCGACTCTCTTGTGGAGTTCTCTCCATGTCTGCGTGGGTTTCCTCCCACAGTCCAAAGATGTGCAGGTTAGGTGGATTGTCCATGCTAAATTGCTGATAGTGCGCAGGGATGTGTAGGTTAGGTGGGTTAGTCACGAGAAATGCAGGATTACATGGAATCAATGGGTTAGGGATCAATGGGTCTGGGTGGGATGTTCTTTGGAGGGTTGGAGCAGGTCAAATGGCCTGTTTCCACACTGTAGGGATTTCATGATGTTAGGATTCTCTGATATGAGGGAGGAGCTGGCCACAGTTGTTTGGAAGGGCAGACTAGGTGGAAGATGGTGGAACAGCAAAAACAGAAGTTTCTGGGGATAATTCGGGAGGCACAGTAGAAGTTCATCCCGAGGAAAAAGGAACATACCAAGGAGAGGACAATGCAACTGTAGCTGACGAGGGAAGCCAGAGACAGCATAAAAGCAAATGAAAAAGCGTACAGTGTGAAGATTAGTGGGAAACTAGTGGATTGGAAAGCCTTTCAAAACTAGCAGAAGATAACTAAAAGAGCAATAACAAGGCAGATGATTAAATAGGAGGGTACTTTAGCTAGTAATATAAAAGAAGATTGCAAGAGTTTTTTAGATATCTAAAAGTGGACATCAGACCACTGGAAAATGAGTCTGGAGTAGTAGAAATGGCAGGGGAACTGAACAGGTACTTTACATCTATTTTCAAAGCGGAAGAAACCAGCAGCATACTAGAACTTCAAGAGCCAGGGGACAGAGATGAGTGTAGTGGCCATCACAAAGGAGAATTTGCTGGGGAAGCTGAAAAGACTGAAGGTGGATAAATCACTGGACCAAATAGACTGAGTTTTGAATGATATAGCTGAGGCATTGATTGTGATCTTTCATGAACCACTGGACTCAGGGAGGGTCCCAGAGGATTGGAAAATGGCTAATAAAACATGCCTGTTTAGAAAGGGAGGAGGGCGAAAAACGGGAAGTTATAGGCCAGTTAGTCTGATCTCAGTCAAAGCTAAGATTTTAGAGTCCATTATTAAGAATGAGATTGCGGAATACTTGGAAGTGATTGTTGTTATGATTTTAGAGTTCATTGTTAAGGATGAGATTGCAGAGTACTTGGAAGTGCATGGTAAAATAGGGCTGAGTCAGCACAGCTTTGTCAAGGGGAGGTCATGCCTGACAAATCTGTTCAAATTCTTTTGAGGAGGTAATGAGCAGGTTAGACAAAGGAGAGCTAGTGGACATGATCTATTTGGATTTCCAGAAGGCCTTTGACAAGGACATGGATAGAGGATTGGCCGACTGGCAGGAGACAGCGAGTAGGGTAAAGGGGTCTCTTTCTTGATGGTGAGCAGTGGAGTTCTGCAGGGCTCTGTGTTGGGACCACAACTATTCATGTTGTTTATTAACAATTTGGACGAAGGACGGTATTGTTGCAACGTTTGCAGATGATGCAAGGATAGGTGGAAGGACTAGTGGAGTTGAGGAAGTGGGGAAGTAGCAGGACAATGGGGTTGAGAAACACATCAGCTGTAAATGAATGATGGAACAGACTCAATGGCCTAATTCTGCTCCTATATCTTAATGTTAGGACCATATTCACAGGAGTATAAAAGAATTAGGAGAATTTCATATAAAATTCTAATAGGACTAGACTGGAAGGATGTTCCCAAAGACAGTGAAGTCTTAAACCGAGGTAACGGCCTTGGGATATGGGATGGGATATTTTGGCGCTGAAATGAGGAGAAATTTCTTTATGCAGAGACTGGCGAGCCTGTGGAATTCACTGCTTATCTAGCAGTTGAGGCCAAAATATTGAATGTTTTCAAGAAGACATTAGATATAATTCTGAGGGTACAAGGCAAAAGCAGAAACTGGGCACTGTATTGGATGATCAACCATGATCATATTGAATGGCAGAGTCATTCACGAGGCCAGTTAAGGGCAGCTCCATATGCAGCTGGAATACAGATAACCAAGCTAAAATTTAACTGATTAAATTTGGAGGCTCTTTTTGCTAGATATGTATCTTAAGAAGAATAGCGGCTATTCATTGATCTAACATGAGTGTAAAGTAATCCATATTATAAATTTAGATTCACAGCTTGACTTTTAAAACTAAGAGTTTATACATTTGTGTATATTTGAAGTCAGTCATATAAAAATTCTAATTTCAGCTTTTGTAAATGAAATATAAAAACAGTTAGATCAAAAATATATATTCCCACATGTACATTCTATCAGCCTTAGAAATTTTTATTTCCATTTGGATGGTAAAGTTTCCTGTAAAATGTTCAACGATTGTGATTGACCCTGGGTCATTCAGAAGATACTATTCTATGATTGCTCGATATGTTCCTGTTGAATTTAAATATTGATTTAAAAACTGCTCCTGTTGCTGAGGGCGCTGACTTGGCAATCCGTACAAGGCACAAGGCTTTGGCAACGTGTCCTTCTGTCTCTCCAGCAATATTTAAGTTCTGTCCCATGGAATTCCTCTCTCCATGACTTGGAGAGATTAACCCATTTATTTTGATGTCATGCTCACGATTTTAGAAGCTCTAAAATTCGGTGCTTTCGGATGTGAAATCTGTGCTTTGAAAATTACATCATTGGTTCTTTTGAAAGGCATGTTGGTGACTGTCATTAAAGCAAGGAAGAAAAAGTAGCAGTTATTGGTTTATTAAAATGTGCTTAAGTACCTGTATTAGAATACTGATTTTTTTCTTTGTCCTTCAAGCATGTCCAATCCTTATCTTGGAACGTTAAAGGCTCTTGCATAATTGTTTTAATGCAAGTAGTCCTCATTTTACGTAGCTGTATTGGTATTGTTTCATTTTTATACTTATTTATCCTATGGGGACCTGTTTTTAAGTATTGTCATCATTTTCGTTTTGGCATTGTTTGTATATGTGATCATTGCTTATTGCTATTGCGCATCAACATTCAGTTGCACTGCCTGCGTCCCAGCCACCTTTTTGCTGTGACCATGGTCAAGGGATCTTGCCTCCCTTTTGGCCTTGCTTCCTGGCCTCGTTGTTTTCTTGCCTTGCCTCCCTTCCCCTCAGCTTTGTTTCCTAACTTGCTGTACCCCAGCCTGGTCTCCCACCGAGCCTGTTCTCTGCCTTGTATGTCCTTAACTTCAGGCTCTAGGTCTGGTCTTGCCTTTGCCGCCTCCATTCCTAGATCCTTGTTTCACTCTTGAATTCAAACTGAGGCCCTGACTCCATCTAGTGACAAAAGCCAGTCAGTGCAGATTGTTGTGGGTATCCAGCTTTACTGACCAATTGCTACCACTAGATAGTGTCTGTACTCTAACAGTACTGTAGAATATTACAGTTTACTCCTTTTTAAAATTTATTTTAAACTGTTTAATTTGGCAACGTAAAGTACAGGAGGTACTCTATTTCACCTTAGAGAGCACAGGTATATAATTTTAATTATTTTCTTTCTGATACAGAAGGCCCTATGAAACCTAATTCCAACTTAAATATTGATTTTTCTATGTGAATTAATGCTTCAATTAAAGGTGTGATTTTCAGGAACATAATCCTGACTTTAGGTGAGATCAGCCTGTATTATCATTATCGTATGGCACCTTCTATAGTCTCATTCGACTGAAACAACCAGCGATGATGTGACATGTTTGAGTTGAAATTTTTATCTCAGAAGTCTATTGAATCTAAAATCCATAAAAGTAATTTATAACATACTGCATATGAAGTCTTTCCATATCTCAAAAGAAAATCAAATCCAACGTGCCTGTTTGTCAGTGTCAACATTCTATTGCTGTTCCTTCATTGTCCCAAGTGGTAGGTGGTGAGCCTTCTTGAATTCATGATCTAATTTGGCTGCTGAGTGGTTTGAAAAGGCACTTCAGAGGACAGTTGAATCAGCATATCTGGATTCAAACATAGGCCAGACTGGGAAGGACAGCAGGTTTCCCCTTCATGTTTGTGCAACAACAGCTAGATGGTAATTTTTGAAATTATTTTTGCTCCCAGGTTTTTTAAACTTACTTCAAATTCTAAATTCAAATAACAAAAATGAAGTCACAATGTCTGCATTCCTATCTGGCTCTGGGTTATTAGTCCATATGGTCCTTTGAACAATTGAAAACAGCTACAGTTATATTCCACCCCAAATTAATTATGAAGGTTGTTAAGAGGCAAGACCAAAATAATCTGGAAATCCAGCAATTCACCTTTGCTTTGAAATTGACACTTCTTCTAGATTTAGTGGATTGAAGTTATGCTGAAACTGTCTTTAGCTCTAGGTGTAACCCTGATGACATTCCCCTCTGAACCTGAAGCCTAGGACTTTTCAGGGATGGAAAATGAGGTTGCAGTATTCCTATCAGGAGGAATTGAACCTGCAGCAATAGTGTCTACATTACCCAATGCTAATAGCTAGGGCTATTCAAAGGTGGACATGATATCCGCATTCTGCAACCAGAAGCTCCCTACTTAATTTTCCAGAATTTTATAGATGTGCTCTGCCAATGAAGATCCTTGGTTTTTCCTGCGTGTATCCAAAGACTTCCACATAATTTGGGAGGAAACCATCTGTTACTAGCCCAGGAATTCTAGTTGCTGGACCAGTGTATTTGACCCGCCACAAATCTGTGAAGGGAATGTCTGCTCATTCTGATAATGTAGTCTGACGCAACAATGTAATGCAAAAGACTATGGGCACTGACCTCTTTCTAGCAATAATACTGCAGACTTGAGCTCCAGCGCTGGCTGTGCCTGTGGTCAGGTTGTTCTAGCATCAATCTGATGATGCAGAAAATTGCCCAGGTCTGTCCTATGCTCAAAATGCAGGATAAATCCAACCTGAATAATGACCCTGTCATCCATCTACTCATGTTCAGTTTGGGTTCTGCCAGAGCCACTGGGCTCCTGACCTCCTTACAGCCTTGCTTCAAATGTGGATGGAAAAACTAAACTGCAAAAGTAAGTTGAGAGTAACTGCCCTTGATATCAAGGCAGCATTTAGCCAATTACAACATCAAACAGCCTAGAAAAACTGAATCAGTCAGCAAGAAGACTCTGTTGGTTAGATTCATGCCTGTCACAAAAGAAGTTGTAGTTGTCAATTATCTCAGCCCCAGGACATCCGTACAGGCATGCTTCATACTTGTGTTCTAGGTCTAACCATCAGCTGCTTCATCAATGTCCTTTTCACCATCATGCGTCAAAAGTGGAGATGTTAGGTGATTGGTGCTGAGCATTGCTTCAGTATCTGAAGTGTTGCAAATGTACAGTCTGTGTCCACCAAGATCCTGGACAACATCCAGGCTTCAGCTGCTATAAGACAAGTAACATTCACGCAATACAAGTGCCAGGCAATGACCACTTCCAACAAGAGAATCTGATCATCACCCCTTGATGTTCAATGGCATTTCCAGAGATGAATCCCCCACTGTCAACACGCTGGAGATTACCATTGACCAAAAATTAAACTGGACCAGCCATATAAATAGAATGGCTACAACAGCTGGATGGAGTTTGGGGATTCTGTTGTGAGTAACTCACTATCTGTCTTTCCAATGCCTGGCCGCCATGTACAAAGCCCCAAGCAGGAGTCTGATGGAATACTTTTCATTTCATTTGCCTGGATAGGTGCAGCTTCAACAACACATCAAGCTCACCACCAGCCAGGACAAAAGTAGCCTACTTGATTGGCACTCCATCCACCACTTGCAACCCTATCTTCAGCATCATTGCACTTGACAGGAGTGTGTATCCTCTACATGCACTGCCATAACTCATCAAGATTCCTCCAATAACACCTTCCAAATCTGCAACCTGTCCCACCTGGAAGGAGAAGACCAGATTAATGGAAACACCACCACCAGCAAACTCTCCTCCAAACCATACACTTTCCTAAATTAGAACTACGTCGCCATTCATTAACTGTTGCTGGGTCAATATCCAGGGACTCCCCTCCTAACAGCATGAAGTGTCTCTACCATCCAAGGACTGCAGTGATTCAAGAAGGCTGTTCACCACCACCATCCTATCCAGGACAATTAGAGATCAGTAATAAATGCTCGCCTAGCTTGTGATGCCTCCATCCCATTAATGAATAAATAGATTCTTTTTTTTTTTAAAAAAAATCGTAACTTTCTGTCTGATGAGATGATTAGGACAGCTAAGGCTAACATTATTGGCATTAAGAGAAACTTGTACTTTGAAACTTGATGCTAATTCTGTGCCTTTATCTATTGACTTGCTTCAAGTCCATCATTTCAACCTGTTGCTTTGAACCTGCAGTAGGAAAGGCGACATCCAGTTTGGGCTAACAAATAGCATTTAAACAGGTTAATTGATGCTTTCTTGGTCTTGCGCATTAAATATTCTCATTGTTTGAAAGATGTTCAACTTCTAAATTCAAGCTCAATCTCAACCTATTTCATGACTTTGTGATTTAAAAGCTCAGAATTATGTCTTGCTGATTTTTTTTTAACTTCAGCGTTCTGCATAGGGATTTTGGGAACTAAATGTAAGTTTTCATAAGACCTCCTTAATTAGGATGGCAGTTCCTAATTATAAGCAGAGCTTAAATTTCTTTCAAAGATTTGACAAGACTGCTTGGTGTGTAATGTTTGCATTACATTAATAGGGCAGACATGGAAACCAGCCCAGGGTTGCCCTATTTTCAGTAACACTTCTTTTGAAGACTAAACCGGATTGTGATTTTTTTTTTAAGCCAACTATTACAGGGCTAATGTTTGTAATCTTTGTATTGGGTAATTCTTCAGGATTTGGTGTGCATTTCTTTTCTCATGATCAGGATCAGTCAAGATCTGGCCAAGGATCTGGCCATCCTTGCACGAGAAATCCATGATGTGGCAGGTGAGATAGATTCTGTGAGTTCATCGGGCACTGCCCCTAGTACCACAGTAAGCACTGCTGCCACCACCCCTGGTTCAACCATTGACACAAGGGAAGAGGTAGGAGACCTTCATGGAGGAATGCCTAAGGTTCTTGCTTTTTTTATTTCCTTTTTTGTTCTAGCTTTCTATCTGGAGTACTATAAACACATTTCATTTTCCGTATCTTTTCTAGGCTATTTGGTTCAATTATTTAATGGATGTTTGATATACAATTGCATTAATTCCTTGTAATTGCATTTCAACATGAAATTTTATATCAAAACTGCAGAAGTTGCTCAAATGAAAAGTTAGAAAATTCATGGCAAAATTGAAGTGTTTATCGTATTTTGCATTAACATTGGAAGATTTGTTTTGTCTTATCCCTCATTAATTAACTTAGTTGTTCATCTTACCATTTGAAAGAGCATTGGCTCCATGTAGGACCTCATCAAGCTTTGTTGGTGATTGTGTAATGTTTGCGTAAATTGTTTTTAATAGTACTAAAATATTTTACGTTAGATATTTTACAAAACACCACCAAATCTGCAGATTTGAGTAAACAACCACCAAATTCTTTATTTTATATAAGTATTGAAATTTAGTAATTCTATTCAAAGCGACTTGTGTTTTACATGCTGTAAATTATAGCCACCATTCTACACATTCCCAATCCTGATGATGCCTGTTTGGGGTCTTAGGCTGTTTGACCTAATGTGCAATGTGGAATGACTGGGTTTTTAATGGCTACATGAAGGAATAGGTTGAAATTTGTCGTTGTAATCGCCCTTCAAACGTATTCTGTAAATACAATTCTTAAACTAAACTGAAAATTTCAATCACCTTCAAGTCTGAACAATTATTCATTGAATTATTCTTTGCAACAGTAAATCTCTCAACTTTCTGTGGATTGTGATTGGATTTCTGTGAATAAAATTCCAGAATTAAATACAGGGGCATACATCCTAGTGTGATTGTAATTAAGATCACTTGATCAGAGTGCAAGATGGTGCTTTCGAGATGTTATCTTTGATGTTAAAAAGGTTTAATTTTTAAAAATTTCCCAAATTTATTTACATAAATGGTTGATCAAAAATGAATTGTAGTCACAAAACTATTGTTGAGACTGGTTACTATTTCTGCTAAATAAAATGATTTTGATCTGAATGAAGTACTTGATGTACACTTTAAAGATAAATCACAACTTTAAGACTACATTAATCACTGTCATATTCTGGAATTTTTGCTTTTACATTGATTTATCGCAGAGAGGATTTGTTGGAAAAAAATTGACTTCTCTTAAATATTGGCCATTAAAAACAGTCTTCCCTCCTGGGAACCCGTTGTAAAGCACTGCAGTTGTGTACAGCCATATAGAACAAAAAATTGTTCTCATTTAGCTTCCTTGTTATATTTTGCAATTTGCTGCCTAATTTAGTGAAACTTGTACTAGGTGGTAGTTTGACGAACTAACCGAAATATAATCTTTCTAAAACTCCATGTCTCTTCACCTTTTAACCATGATTGGATTGCTGAATTTATCCTCACTTAAGTTTGATCAACAGTTTGAAAATGAAAATTTATTTTTTATATTTTTTAAGAACAAAATTCTGAATGCAACCAGCATCAGACTTTAAATCAGAGGTGGGAGCCTTTTTTTTTTCTGGAGGAGGGGAAAAAACCAGTATTAAATGGACAAAATTTAATTTAGTTTTGAGAGAATTGAAATGTTCCACTTGCCCTCTGTTTATCAGCAGTGATGATGTTACTTTGCCTTAGTGAGTTTGTTTGATCACAGTGAAGATTATGTTACTTGCAACTGTTGTTTCAAAGTTTCATCTCTTAATCCAGAGCACAGTTCTTTGCCTGAGAAAGCTTTGAAAAGAACTGCTGAAGGCACTATCTTGTGTTCCCTGTCACTCAGCCAATTCCATGTGTGTGTTATTGCCATAAGCAATAGCTTTGCGTGCCTCTTGTCTGACACTGTATCAAATGCCCCTTGAACGCCCATATAAACCACATCAACAGCATTGCCCTAAACAATTGTCCCTGTTAAATCGCCAAAAAATGAATCACTAGAAAATAAATCTCAATGGGAAAAAAATCATTTGTGGGGAAACAGTCATTTATGAAAATAAAGGGGACAATTATCAATATATTGTCTATTAATTTAGCCCCATCCCACTTTGTCTCTTGCCTCATCCACTGGCACTCCTCGTTCCGCAGTCTCCATTCTTCACCCTCCTCCAGTCTTGGTCTCCTCCTTTTTCCACTTGTCATTCTTCATATTTACCCTTTCCCACTCGGTCTCCTTTCCTACTTTGAATATTTCCCCTTTTCCACTCCCTCTCACTGCTGGACAGAAGGTAGAGCCCTTGTTTCTTTAGCTGGAAGGTGCAGGAGCAGTAGATGTCCACAATTCAGTTTTCTCAGATCTGTAAACAGATCTAGACAAATGGAGCAAAATATTCCTTAATTAGACTCTCTGTCCTCTCGGAATCATACAGTATGGAAACAGGCCCTTGGTCCAAATAGTCCATGCTAACCATGTTCCCAAACTAAATTAGTCCTACTTGCCTTTGTCTGGCCCATATCCCTCCAAACCTTTCTTATCCAAATGTCTTTTAAATATTGTAACTGTACGTGTATCCACCATTTCCTCTGGCAGTTCATTCCACACACATGCTACACTCTATAAAAATAGTTGCCCCCTCATGCCTTTCTAAAACTTTCCCCTCTCACCTTTAAAATATGTCTCCTAGTTTTGAACACCCCCAACCTAGGGAAAAGACCGTTGCTACTCACGTCATCCATACCCCTTTTTATAAGGTCATTTTATAAACCTCTATAAGGTCACTTCATGACCTCTGATGCTGCAGTGAGAAAGGCCCCAGCCTATTTTTATAACTAAAACCCCCATTCTTGGCAACATTTCTAGTAAATCTTTTCTGAACCCTCTCCAATTTGATAATATCCTTCCTATAGCAGGGCGACCAGAACTGCACACATTACTCCAGAAGAGGTCTCACCAATTTCTGTACAACCTCAACATAACATCCTAACTCCTATGCTCAAAGATCTGAGCAATGAAGGCAAGCATGCTAAATGCCTGCTTAACTATCTTGTCTGCCTGTGACGTAAATTTCAAAGAATTATTTACCTGAATCCCTAGGTCTCTGTTCTACAACAATACCAGGGTCCTACTATTAATTGTACAAGTCCTGCCCTGGTTTGCTTTACCAAAAGGCAATATCTTGCATTTATCCATATTAAACTCTATCTGCCACATCTCAGGCCATTGACCCAACTGATCAAGATCTCTTTGTAATCTTAAATAACCTGCTTCACTGTCCACTGTACCAGCAATTTTGGTTTCATCCACAAACTTACTAACCATGCCTCTAATACTCTCATCCAAATCACTCTCACAAATGTCAAACAAAAGGTCTGAAAAACAACCCTCTACCACCACCCTCTGTCTCCTACCGTAAAGCCAATTTTGTATCCAATTGGCAACCTCATTCTGAATCCCATGTGACCTAACTTTACCAATTACTCTACTGTGCAGAACCTTCTCAAAAGCTTTACTAAATTCTATGTAAACAACATCTACTGCTCTCCCCTTATAAATCGTTTTGGTTGCGTCCTCAAAAAACTCAATCTGGTTTGAGAGACATGTTTTTCCTCACACAACCATGCTGACTATCCCTAATCAGTCCTTACCTCTCCAAATGCACATAAATCCTATTTTTCCAAATCATCTCCAACAACTTACCCACCATTGATGTCAGGCTCACAGGTGTATAGTTCCAGACTTCTCCTTACAGTCTTTCTTAAGTAAAGGCACATTATTAGCCACCCTCCAGTCCTATGGCACCTCACCCATGGTTATAGATGATACAAATATTTATGCTAGGGCCACTGCAATTACTTCCCCGATTTATCCATCTTTGTTTTCTACGACCTCCAGCATTTCCTCCTCTGTAATGTGAACTGTTTACAAAACATCAGTTTTATAGCCTCCATTTCTCTCTCAATAATAGAAAACTGTCACAAAATCTGTCTGGAAACCATATTCACTTCCTTTTTTAGATACAAACAAGTGTCACAAAAATTTCAATAGTAACCACATCCTTGAACCCCCCTCAACTTTGCTCACTGCATTCCCAGCCCACACCTTCTGTCAGGAATTCCCCCGCTGCACAGCCCACCACTTCATGCAGTAGCTGTTTGTAACAAATCCAGTACACCTGAAAATAACATGGTAGCTTTAAAGAACTAATACAGCAAGCTAAACAATAAGATTATATTTGAAAGGAATTGTCACACTGTAGCCCATGTGATCAGTCATGTTGCAAAATTTCAACTGCAGTCACTTTCAGCAAAACGTACACTGAAACTAACTGGGTTCTGGTTTATTTGTTGCTGGTTTTACCCAGGGAAGTTACCCAGGATCTTGCTAAGATCAGCGAATCAGATTAAGTCTAGTAATGGGCTAGATTCAGCCTGCAGGCTGGAGGTTCCCCATGCCTGCCTTAAATGAACTCTCAGCCAGGTTTCACTGCTAACATTATCTGAAAGATTTGAAGGACTGGGAGATGATCTGACTGTCCATGTCATTAAAAGGTGGTGTAATTATTTCAAGAGTTAAGACTTCTGAAATAAGAGTGTTGTATACCTTTATGTCAAATCAGACATTGTCACTAACTGTGGGACAAATGTTTCCTAGAGAAATGAGAGCTGAAGGGAATATTTATTAAGTCCTTCAGATTTTTTTGATGCAGATATAATCCACTATAAATCTATATAGTGCTTTTAAACAAAAGGAATAATTTTGGCCTTTTTTGAATAACTTTTTTTTTATTTTTCCTGATTAGTTGGTTGATCGTGTTTTTGATGAAAGTTTGAACTTTAGAAAAATCCCTCCAGTGCCATGTATAAAACCATCAGCTGGAAATGGCAGACACAGCGATTCCAGATCTCAAATTTTTGAAGTTGCTGATCAGGCTACAAAGAGGAAGACATGGAGTAGGGATGAAGTAAGAATTGCATTTTAATGAAGAAACATGGTCTCTACATCATGGAGAGGTAGAAACAGAAATGGGCTGCTCAGCTCTGTGAGCACTTTTTTCCTGTTGTTTTTTCCCCACAACTGGGCTGTACCTTAACTTTCTTAAAACTCACTTTTTCTCAATATGTCATCATAGCCTTTCATTAAAAATCAGTGATCTCCATCTTAAGGTTTCAATTGACGTAACATCTACAGTCATTTGGTAGACAGAGTTCTGGATTTTTCTCTGCTTTATACAAGATGAAAATGTCTCCTGATCCCTTCAAATAGACAAAGTAATTGACACGTTCCATGTACTCTCCTTTTCATCCTTTCCCCTCGTCTGAGATGTGGTGATCCTCAAGTTAAATTATCAGCAGTTATCTCTCTCCAAAGAGAAAACAACCGTATGGCCCTCTGGGACTACAGCAACTTTTTACCTTTTTTACCTCTTGTATCCTGTCTCAGCTCAAATCGGCCTGAAACCTTTAATAATCCTGCGTCACTACCAGAGTTGATCACTAACCTGTTCTAGCTGAGCCTCCACCCTCTGTTAATTTAAACTCATCCACTATTTTAACCACCCAAACCCTATC